AAAAAAAAAAGACACTAGATGACTTCTAATCAAGCAGAAATTATTTTCTCTCGTTCATATAAAGATGGCAAATCGAGATAATTCACTCTATCTCTAAATACCTCGTCAAAAGATGAGCTAACGAGGTTAGCGGACTAACTTGTCAATATTTTTTTTATATAATTTTTTTATATGTATTTTTTTAAAATATATCTTTAATTTTATGAATAATTATTAAGTTTTTATTTATTAATTAGTATTTTTATTAGATAAATTAAAAATATTATTATATTTATGTATTAAAATAACTAATTTCAACTTAATTAATTAGTTTTTATAATTTAAATTATAATATTATAATATATTTATATATTTTAATAACATAACATAACAAAATATAATATTTTTATTATAATATTTATTATTTCATTTATAATATATAAAAATATATTTTTAAAACAGACCAGCAGATTAGCCCAGACTTATTTCATCCTTAGCCTATTAAGATAGCGAGAGATTATACGGGATGAGTCAAAATGGGTTGATACGTCTGAAATTATCATTCTTTTCCACCAAATTTTAGACGAACTTCCACAAACATTAAAGTGTGTTTGAATGTAGAAAAAAAAATAGAGAAAGTGAAAACTCTAGAGAGAAGACACTTGTAGAAAGATAATAATTTTGTGATAATGAAAATTAAATGGCTAATTTTTTTATTTAAAATTTATTTTAATTTAATCAATAAAACTTCAAATTTATTCTTATTATATTATTTTTATTCTTAACCTATTTAAAATGTGTCCTCACATATTTTATTGATATTATTAATTGATATTATTAAGGTTATTTTTCAACCTATGAAAGTTAAGATTTTGTAGTGGATGGTAACAATTTTTTTTTCTTTTATCTTATTAGAATTATTAATTTATTAATGTAAATAAAAAAATATTTATGAATCGATATTCGGCAGGTTTTTTTTTATTTTTTTATCAATGTCAATAAGTTAATTTTGATGAATGTGATTTTTTTTTAAAGATGAGTAATTTTTTAGTTGAAATCTATCATTTTGTCTATATTTTTTTGAGATTTTTTTTTCAATTAAGGTTATTAATGTTTTTTTTTTCAAAATTGATTATTTTTTTAAAATATTGTCTATAAATACTGTCGGTAAACATTTACTATAATTTATCTTCTCAAACTAAAAAGGCTATTGAATAAAAAATAAGTTTAAAATAAGTGTTTTTGGACCTATGCCTATGTTACGGTTAGATGATTTTACTTTCGCCTTTCTTATTATCTTCCATCAAATCAATATTGGTAATATTGTGTGATGTAATTAACAAAATAAAAGTAAAATAGAAAAATAAATTAAAAACGATAAAATTAAAGCAAAAATGATAAAAAGCAACACTACAGAGCTAAAAACAAAAAATATAATTTTATAAAGACTAAACCTGAAAAGTACAAATTCAATGTTGATTAGAATTAGAACTTGAAAGTATTTTAAGACATAAAAAATGACAAGTGTGATTCATAATATACATTAAAATTTGATGTGATTCGTATGATATGATCAAATAGTGTTGGAGGTCATTGAGATTTACTTTTTCAATTGAAGTAGCTACAAAGCTGACTTAGCGATGACACGAAACGTACTTTACAACTTTTGAGGATCTCTAGCGACCATTTCTCTGGTGGGTTAAGTTCGGGGACTTTTCATTCATGTTATCTGTGTGTTTTTGGTGAATTTTGTGGAGCCCTGTTTCACGATCACATAAATAAACTGAATAATCAACCAGAATAAACAGTCAAAAATCTAAATTATGATATTTTATACACAAGTTGTGGTTAATTAATCAGTGCCGACAACTCTGTTTATGTGCCTAATTAACTTGTACTTCACCTTAGGTTTTCTGAATCCGAGTTTGTTCATCACATATTGAACTCACGTAAATGCATTGCCTTCACGTGCTTCTTTTTCTTTGGATTCTGAGATGAAACGTATATTTTGTACCTGAAGAAAAAAACAAAAGATGAAGTTAGAATACGATTCTGCAGAAGCAGAATAATTTGTGGTATACATATATGGTAGTTGACCACACACGCAGAGAAAACTTTGAATGGATTCTCATTATTAGCAGAGAGAAGTAGGTGAAAAATGTACTGCACTGTTACTCTGTGTACATGGTGTTTTACGCGTTATACCCCGTTTCAGCCACCTACGTAATGCACGTCACTTTTATTGCATGTCACCTTTTTGGTTTACGTCGTAAATACCTGTCTCCAACTCATTTTATTTGATTTAGATTTTTTAAGTTAAAATCAAAATATTACTGTTATTTTTAATAAATATTATTTATTACTAATTCATTGATTTATGTAGGTTAAATTAGTATTAGGTTCTTGCTGTTTTTGTTCAGGTTTTAATAAAGTGTGGTTAATAATATTTACTGACGTGACTTGTAAAAATTGGATAGGAATGAACAAAGTGTTGAAAATGAAATGGATATATTAATGTGTTTTTCTTTATTTTATTATAGATAGTAAATAGATTGTGTTTTTCTTTTTATTAAACATCGTAAAATATTTTTTGTGGAGATATTTTATTCTTTCTTTTCCTTTCACCTTTTTTCTCTTCTTTTATTTTCTTTTATAAACTAAATATACCCTAACTTTTCCACAAAAGTATATAATTTTTTGTTGCACCAAACTCAGAATCTGAGATATTGTTTAACTGGAACCAGACATGAACAATAGTACGCAATAGCCGTTGATCTCTTTTTCCCCTTTATACATAAAACGGTAATTTTACCCGTTAGGTTAACGTTCATAAAGTTCATATGAGTTATTCCATTTCTGATAAAAGTATATATTTTTCTTTTTACAATAATAAAGTGCATTCTTATTTGAACCAATTGCACTTAATTTTATCTCAAGCTATTAACTACAGTAATTTATTATTTTATGTAAAAAAAAACATTAATAAGGGTAAGAACTTGACTTGAGGGGACAAAATGTTCTTGGTTGGAGAAAGATCATCGGAAAATGTAATTTAAATGATTTAATGGGGAACAAAAGGAAACACATTAACGTTAAGAATTTTGGAAGGTTATGAAATGATGATTTAAGGAATCATTTATCCACACTCCTATTTGTTATACTGCTACATTTTTTAGTTCTTATAAAATTCTGTTTTGTAATTGATTATGACACTTCTACAGAACTTAAAAATTAATTAACAATTCTAATATTTGGTTTTAAATATTAAATTTACGTCCTAATTGTGACACTAGCTAGCTGTTTTTACTTGGATTCCTTGTATCATGACAAAAATTAAACACTATATTACCAACTTAAAATTAAAATTAAAATCAAAGTTGTAAAAATATATTTCATATATTAAATATATCCAAATATATTTTTTATTCACACATTAATTGAGGTTATTTTTTAAATAGTTGTAAAAAAATATTCTTCTACCAAAGTTGGTTTTCTTTTTTTAATTGTTAAGGATTATATTATAAGTGATTTTTCATTAATGTCGGCTAAAAAATTTCCATGTCTATTCTCATTGACATTGTGCAAGAAAAATTAAAATCATGATCATTGTCCTAAATCAATAAAAAATAATCCGACAATGTCAATTGAATTTTTTATTATTATTAAAGTTGAGAGGAAAACCTTAAGTTACATTAATACCAAATAGTTTCACTAATGTTTATAAAAAACTCACGATAATGTGTACCAAAAACCAATCCAACCAAAGTTGGATGAAAAAAAATTCTAAATAAAGTCAGTGAATTAAATATAACTTTATCCATCGATCGAAAAGTAATTTTAACTGAAATCAACTCAAAATAATCTCAATGTAAAACGAAAAAAAAAAACATGTGTTTGACATCAACTACAAAACATTGTTGTTGTTGAAGAAGAAAATTCTTTCTAACAGTAGTTAAAATAACATCAACCTATGTTAGTGAGTGAATGTAACACTTAATCCGATATGATAATTATATTGATATAATAAACTCACCTTATATGATATGATAATTATATTAAAATAATGAAATCTTTTTAAGTGATACGATGATTGTGATGAATTCATTTATATGATCTGAATATATTTTTAATTATACTATAACTTATATTAAATTTGTCGTCAGTGATGAACATGTCTTTATAAAAAAATATTATAGATGATGAATAACTTAAATGATAATATTAGTATATGCTTACTTAATTTTTTTTAAAATATTTTATAATAATATAAATATATATTTCAGTTCCTTTTTCAGACGTGTAAAGATAAATGAAGTCTTTGATTGAAGTATAAGATGGATTTATGTAGGTAAGTGAAATAAGATAAAAATAAAATATATTTTTTAATTTGTAGATAAAATATATATATATATATATATATATATATATATATCAATATTAATAAAAATTTTAATTTTTGAGGAACACTGTAACAGTAGGATCACGGTCTTATGTTGTGGATTAATTAGTTATTATACCTAGGTAGCATTATATAGGTAATAATATTATAGACAAAAAAACAAATTCATAAAAAAATGGAAGATGCTTTTAATATGAAAAAAAAACATTAATAATGATTAAATGAGTCGAAATTAGTAAACAGAGTATTTTCCAGGTGAAAATAAAATATGTTGTACAGAATGTATTTTTGAATTTTTCAAAAAAACACAATATTTTTTGGAATATAAACTCGAGCCTATTATTAAAACTTAGAAAATATTATAATACATTTAATTTGAAGTATTCTAATTATATTTTATTTCGAGTTATTAGTTTCAAGAATAATTGTTTTGTTTAATAACAACTGTACTCGTATGTTTGAACATTTTATGAATATAATATCTTATTAATAAATGTAAATATTTAAAAAATAATTTGTAAACTTTGAAGTTTGAAGCATGCTTTGACTTGCATGAGTTTTTCAGACTCAACCCTAGTTTAAAAAATAATCACAACAATAGTATAATGATAAAGAGAAGTGGTCATGAACGCAAGTGCCATGAAACATGTGCAAAATATTATCGTGAGACCAGTAATGCATGACCAGGATCTAGGATGCTGGTAAGAAGCCGCTGTGTTGGGACGCGTGCACTGAACACTGATGGCTCAGCGATACGATACGCACCGTTTTCGGTGACCGACATTCGCATAAGGGTCTTCCTTCTTTGACACCATTTAGGTTAGGATCCTTTGTCCCATAACATGACATACCTTATTTTTGCTACTTCCACTCTTCATTTCAATTTCCCCTTCTTCACATTTTCCATCACTTGGCCCAAAAAGTTTGAACATCAAATATAAATAATAACACTAATGAATAATGAATAATGGAAAATGGGTCTTAAAAGACAAGCTTGTTTGTTTTCTTTCTCATCCTCTCTTTATTCTTTATGGGTGATTTCCTTTTCTCAATCTTTCTCCCCAAACTTTAAGGTATTAAAATGTTTTTTTTTTCTTGTGATTTCCCAAACTAAAGTGTGTTATCTATTATGCACATTAGGGTTTAATTGTAGTGGATATTTGAAACTAAAACCGACCGTTTTTCTTTTGTAGAAAGAAAAGTAAAAGCCCTTCACAGTTTCACATGCTGCTTTGCGATACTTAAATATTACAATTTTATATTCTTTTAAGAAGCTATGTGTAAACATTTAAAAAAAAATACAAGTTTTTTAAATATGATTTTTTAAAATATCTTCTCAAATAAAATGACATGTTTTTTAAATATGATTTTACTTTTTAAAGATTTTTCTCTCTTTAAATGAAGTGATATATGTTTATAGTATATTTTATAAATTAATTTAATTAATTAATATTTATAATTTAAATGGTAATATTATAATATTTTTATATTATAATAAAAAATATAATATTTTAAATTATAATAATTTTATTTTAATTTAATATATAAATATATTTTTAAAACTGATAAATCCCTCCACCTATTTAAATTATATAAGATAAATTAATTAATTAAAATTATCAATCTGATTTATATGAATCAGTCCATTAAAATTAGACTATTTTATCATTTATAAAAAAAGTTAAAATTAAAATTAATGATCAGTTACATGTAAAAAATAAATAACAATAACGTAATATTTTAAACTTCACATAAAAACATTAAAATGGCAATTGATATTAATTTAACGTTCAGTTTCATTATTAACATTTAAATGAATACTTCTTTAGCAGTTAAATAATAAAATTCTCTTAAAACATTAAATTAACATTATGCTTTTCAGAAACTAAATTATCATCCTAATCATTAAGTGAAAGGTAAGTTAGTGTAAAATTAGAGTAAAAAGTAAAGTAAAAGATTTCATATTATGGAGTTAAAATATAAAAAATGGGGATGAAGAACATAGATCCCAACTGGGAAGTGGAAATAGCAAAACATATGCAAAAGGCAGAATCTTAGCTGGATCCACCACTACCTAAATTTTACCATATACTTTTCAATAAGGATCCTCTAGTACAAATCTTCTCTACATCTTTCTCCAACTCATTTGTGTACCATCTGATTCATCTAATGGTTGAAATAAGAAATGTTGTATTTTTTTATGAGAAAATAGGAAGTTTCACTAGTATTAGAGAGACGTGCATCTTCTTCTTCTACTGCACGCATTCCAAATATCAGCAATTGGTAACAAAATCATAAATTTAATGATCCAAAAGTTTCTTAAGAATTTAATGGCAATGTTTTCTTACATTGTATGTAAATGGAATTTGGAACTGGAATGATAAAAAGGGATGTTGTAGAAGGTGTGACAGAAAAGAAAAGGTAAAGTTACAACTGTGATAGCATTTTGATCTTCACTGTCAGTTAATCCAACGGCTAAAAAATGAGGTGAGGCAAAGGGGTGTGGTAGAGGATTCCAATCCCTAATTTCTCCCTTTTGTCCTCTTGATTCAACCTTTTCTTTCCTACACACTCACTCTCTCCCTCTAGCAAATCCTCTTCTCCCTCCCTTCCCACCACTTTCACTCTCTCTTTCTCTCTCATTTAGCAAGAGAGAGAAACAGTCACAAAACAGAGCACATGAGAGAGGTCAAGCACCACAGCACAATGTGCAGCAGCACCACCTTCATCCTCACCCTCTTCCTCCTCATTGGACCATTCCTTTCTCTTTCCTCTTCCACACCCACCAACAGAAGAATCCTTCACCAACCCTTTCTCCCTGAAGGAGGTTCTCCACCTCCCTCAGTTCCCCCAACCCCCACTCCACAGCTCTCTCCATCACCTTCACCTCCAAACCCAAAGTACCCATTTTCCACCACACCCACCACCAATGCTTCCACACCCTTCTTCCCCACATACCCTTCTCCCCCACCTCCACCTTCTCCTTCAGCCTTTGCTTCCTTCCCTGCTAACATCTCCTCCCTCATCCTTCCCCAATCCCCCAAGTCCAAATCTTCCTCCAAAAAACTCCTCGCCGTTGCCATCGCGGCTGTCGCCTGCGCCATCGCCGTGGTCTCCCTCTCCGCCTTTGTCTACTTTCGCCGCCGACGCCAGAGCTATTCCGCTGATGAGAAAACCCTCAGATCCGACAGCAGCATCCGCCTCTTCCCTCGTGAAGCCTCCGCCTCTGCTGGCGGTGGCCGCAAACCAAGAAACACCTCTTCTACCAGCTCCGAGTTTCTCTACCTTGGCACCATTGTTAACTCCCGTGGCGGAAACGTCGATGAGCTCTCTGACCCGCGGTCCGCGGCGTTGAACCCCCGCAAAATGGACTCTCCGGAGCTTCAACCGCTTCCGCCGCTGGCGAGACAGGCTTCCAGGCTTAGAGAAGAAGCGGCGATGGTGGAGGATGATGAAGAGGAGTTCTACTCGCCGAGAGGGTCGTTGAATGGAAGAGAAGGCTCCGCCGGAACCGGATCGGGTTCCCGGCGAGTTTTCTCCGCCATTGCCGCAGAAAATTTAGTTGGTCGTAGTAGCAGTGAGTCAACCAGCTCTTCTTACTCTTCTTCCTCTTCTGCTTCTCCGGATCGCTCTCATTCCATTAGTCTCTCTCCTCCGGTAAGCATAAGCCCTAGAAGATCACAACCCAAGTCGCCTGAGAATACCATAACACACCATTCTCCACCACCTCCTCCAGCGGCGATTATAAGTACCCCGTCCTCGTCCACACTATCGTCGCCGTCACCGTCGCCGGTTCTCGGGCAACATATGCCGTCGTCGTCAATGTCGTCGACGCCGGAGCGGAGGGAGTGTCAGTCTCCATCGCTGTCGCCGCTTTCCTTGTCGCCGAAGAAAAACCAATACCCAGATGGTGAATCACCTCCACCACTTGTAGTACTTGAAAAGATGCAATCTTTTGGTTCGTCTAGGTCCAAAGACGACAGTGGGTCACCGAGATTGTCCAACGCTTCTTCCATTGGGAAGTCCTTGGCTTTTACTCTGCCGTCGCCGGATAAAAGCATGAACTTGCAGCATGGGCTGGATCAGTCTCCAACCATATCCGACGTTTCAGATCGGTATAGAAATTCTCCTTTGTCATCATTACCTTTGTCACCGACATTACTTTCATCGCCGGAGAGAGAGTTGAACCCTCAGCCTCCGCCTCAATCTCAACCTCAGCCTCAACAACCACCTCCACGGAAACACTGGGAGATTCCTGACTTGTTGACACCAATCGGCGAAACGCCGATTTTTTCAGCTCCTCAGAGGAAACAATGGGAAATTCCGGTTCTTTCAGCACCAATTGCTCCATCTTGTAGTAGTGTTATAGCCCCTCCTCCACCACCGCCACCTCCGCCGCCGCCGCCAGTTCCGCGGCAACGAAAGCAGTGGGAGATGCCACTGCCTTCTCCCGTGACGCCAGTGGGTCAACAGGTTTCGAGGCCGCCGGCGCTGACGCCACCTTCTAGGCCTTTTGTGCTGCAAACCCCAAATACGAAGGTTTCTCCAGTGGAGTTGCCACCTGGTAGTTCTCAGAATTTTGAGGAGAGTTCTGAAGAGGCATCTAAACCTAAGTTGAAGCCTTTGCATTGGGACAAAGTAAGGGCCAGCTCTGATCGTGAGATGGTGTGGGATCAGTTGAGGTCCAGCTCTTTTAAGTGAGATCTTCAACTATCACCAACAATGTTACTATTTTTTTATGTCATTGATTGCTAATGCTTTTTGCTTCTTTGATTTCTGTAATGCTTAGGGAATTGTTCTTTTACTAGCTGATGACTCGTGTGTGTGAATGTTGTCATCGATGTTCATGGATTTAAGTGCTTTGAATTGTGTTGACTGCAGGTTGAACGAGGAGATGATTGAAACTTTGTTTGTAGTGAACACGCCAAACCCAAAACCTAAGGACACTGCTCCTCGCTCAGTTCTTGCCCCGCAAAATCAAGAGGATAGAGTGCTGGATCCTAAAAAGTCCCAGAACATAGCTATCTTGTTACGAGCACTTAATGTGACTATAGAAGAAGTGTGTGAATCACTGTTAGAAGGTATGTTTCCTTTGGTTATAGGGTTTAGGACATAGCTTTTAATTTCTCTAGTTTTCTTGTAATTATTGATTGTACCTTGCACAGAAAAACTTCTGTTTGAAGTGTTGTCCATTGTGGTAATATTGACACTTGTGTAAATCCTTGTTGATATTTGCCTCTTGTTGATAATCATTTGGAATAAATTCTTTACCCACTCTGTACACATAAATTTTAGTTGCATGTGCAGTTGATGCTTGGGTATTTTATACAGTTGCTGGATAAAGTAGAAAATTTTTAAAGGAAAAAAGAACAGAGATATGTCGACACTAATTTGGCAACAACTTTTTCTTTGGTATAGTAGGAGAAGTTTGGTGTGGGTCTTCATTGAAGGGGAAGATGTGTTTGTTGCCTAGTTATAGGAATAAATATCTGTCCATATGAATAGTTGTGGTTATTATATGCTCCTTGAATGACGCTAGTGCGCTGTGGTGGTTTGTTCTGTTGTGATAGTTCTTAATTTCTTGAAAATCTATTTTGGTTAAGCTATTTATTGTCCTCCAGAACCCAGTAATCTGGTTACTTAAGCAATATACTATGCTTTTGGTAAGTCCATTGATTTGTTATGTGGTGGTAATCAATGGAACTTACCAAATGAAGGGGGTTCTATTTTTTGTTTTCTCTCTCCATGTTGTTTATTTAGTGAATACAATTAATTATTTGATGCCAAAGCCCTTGTTCATAAGAATGTGATTTCAGTGACTAAATCTGTCCACCGCTTTCCAATTTTTAAATGACGAAATCATTTTTACCTTGTTAGGTATTACTGATACACTTGGAACTGAACTACTTGAAAGCTTGTTAAAAATGGCACCAAACAAGGAGGAAGAACGCAAATTAAAGGAACATAAAGATGATTCTCCAACCAAGCTTGGTCCTGCTGAGAAGTTTTTGAAGGCAGTGCTTGATGTACCCTTTGCATTTAAAAGGGTGGAAGCAATGCTTTACATAGCCAATTTTGAGTCCGAAGTGGAGTATCTTAGGAAATCCTTTCAAACTTTGGAGGTATCATCTGTCTTTCCACTGATTTATCCATTATCTCTTCCCTACATATTGTGATGGAGGCGTAACAGAAACCGGTAATGATGGCCATACATGGTTATTGTCTTTGCATTTGCAGGTTGCCTGTGAAGAGCTGCGAAACAGTAGAATGTTCTTGAAGCTTCTAGAGGCTGTGCTCAAAACTGGCAACCGCATGAATGTGGGGACAAACCGTGGCGATGCACACGCATTCAAGCTTGATACGCTTCTCAAACTTGTTGATGTTAAAGGCGCAGATGGCAAAACCACTCTACTTCACTTTGTTGTACAAGAAATCATCAGAACTGAAGGAGCTCGTCTCTCAGGTACCAACCAAACACCAAGCGCGAATTTGAACGATGATGCCAAGTGTAGAAGGCTCGGTCTGCAAGTAGTGTCTAGTCTGAGTTCCGACCTAGCAAATGTGAAGAAGGCAGCTGCAATGGACTCTGAAATCCTCAGCAGTGAGGTCTCCAAACTCTCCAAAGGAATGGCACACATTGCAGAGGTTTTGCAGTTGAATGAAGCAGCAGGGTCAGATGAAAGCAGCCAGAAGTTCAGAGAGTCAATGAACAAGTTCATGAAAATGGCTGAGGAGGAGATTTTAAAAGTCCAAGCACAAGAAAGTGTTGCTTTATCCCTTGTGAAGGAGATCACAGAGTATTTTCATGGGAACTTGTCAAAGGAAGAAGCTCATCCATTTAGAATCTTCATGGTGGTGAGAGACTTCTTAACAGTTCTTGATAGGGTGTGCAAAGAAGTTGGCATGATAAATGAGAGAACCATGGTTAGTTCTGCACATAGATTCCCTGTCCCAGTGAACCCTATGCTTCCACAACCCCTTCCTGGACTTGTTGGAAAGAGACAATACAATTCCTCAGATGATGATAGTCCATCTCCTTAGCTGTTAATCACTCATGTCAGTGTGACATCTTTGGCTGCCTCTTCTCTTAGGAACAACCTGGAACCAGGTGATTTTGATGGGTCTGGGGGTGCATGTATGGTCTGGCCCATTTTTTTTTTCTCTTGTTAAATTGTAAAAATCCTTGTATAAGATTTGAGTTATATATATTATAGATTATATATAGAGTAGAAGATTTTCTTTGGGGAAAATAAGCTTTTGCCTTGTATGAATAGGATATGTATTCTAAGGTTGTTATGTACAAAGCTATTCAATTGGAGATGGCACCTGGTTGCAAATCCTCTTGCAGAAAATACTATAATTTGTGGAACCAAAATATAAATCATGAGCCAAATGTTAGAATTTAGACTTTAAAGGAGTAGGCTAAATTTTTTTGAAAACTATAAATTAAAGTAGCCTCATTAAATTGCAAAATAAGATTTATAAAAAAAAAGATATGATTTTTGATTAATTATAGTCAAGAAGAATAGAGTTTGTTTAAAGTATGCATTCTCCATATCATAATTCATAAATTTTAATTAAAGAATAAACTGAAAAATGTGTGTATAAGCATTTTCAATATTCTTCAAAGGGTTTATAATTGATTCATGCTAGACATCTTATCCAACATTTAATTTCAGAGATTCCCTGAGTTGAGCTGATTATAACTTGTCACATTTGCAGAGGACAATAAGTCACAGTAACAGATGTTTATTGCATAAAATTATTATGGTTAAGACAATTGAATAAGTTCAGAATATCAATACTTTTTAGGTGATACATATAGCATTTGCTTTTTTTTTATTTTTTATTTATCTATATGAAACGTTTTTTTTTTTAATTTTTAAATACAAATTTATAAGAAAGCAAGATGGTCACCAGAATTAATTAATTTTATTGATTGAACTTTCGATCACCCAAATCATTTTGAAAAATTTTCTAGGATAAAATCTTCTGAAACTGTTCCATTTGTGTAAGATTCAAACTCATCTCAACCATAAAAAAAACAGCACATATATTCTTTATGGAATTCAAAGGTAACAATAATCTTTGGAAAATTGTTAGATTTTTACGTAGATTCAGCTATATATAACACAGTTGTCAAGGTAATGGTTAAAGACTTTATTATTTAAACTAGTCACTGGATTCGAAATTTCACAAGGATAAAAGAATAGAATTTAATGAAAAAATATTACATAATAAAATTTTGGATAGATGTCCCTTGACATATGATTAAAGGTTTGATTACAAGAAATGAGTCTATGAAATAACATATATTGAAAAAGATTGATTCTTTAAACAAATTTCTGTACTGTGACATATTAGTCTCTAATTTGAGATTACCCTTGCTATCTAAAAAAAACAAGAGACTAGGTTGGACAAAATAAAGAATTATGATGATCAACTACATCATTTGTAACATGATAAATTGAAGATATGTTTTTTATTTCCCCCCACATAACTCGGGGATATGAAAGCATGTGCAGTCCAATTATATTGTTTTATGAAATAACTGTATACACAAGAATTAAAAAAAAAAAAGTTTCTTTTGTGAAATTTAACTTGCTAGTTTGTTTTATTTTATACAATGGAAACCAAGTTTTCTAAAATTGTGAGACCAACCAAGCACGTTACCAAAGGGGAAAGGGTTGTTTTTTTCCACCAGTTTTGTCACTTATGCAATTGAAGGCATGTTCCATGCACAAATGCCTGCACGTGATGCCCTAGGTTGAGAAAAAAAAAAGAGTAGTTTCGTTGACAGATTAGGGAAGTAAAAGGCAAAATAGAACAGCATCTCTTGCTCTCTTTCTCTCTCCAAGATGTGAACATGCATGTGTCTACAGAAAACATGCGAATAACACCAAAGCAACTAGTTTGATAAAATTGCAGCCAAACATCGGTCTTGATCCGTTGTCTTTCACCTGAGCTGGTTCCACTAGAAAACATGACCATGTACAAGTATCTAAGCACCACTTGTGCCTGTTTTCCCTTGGAAACATGGACAGAAAACATTCAAGTCAAACAAGTCCCATAAAATATAATGTTCCACGAAATATGTATAAGCCAATCAAGGAGAAAATGAATACTAGTTATTGAAAAAGCAGAAGTAGGTGGAAGAACTATTGACCCAACAATTTTCTTCTACAAACATAGGTATACTTCATGGTTGAGTTGAGTAGATACTACGAATGGTTTTAGCAAAATTGTATATTTAAAATCATGGAAGAGACATCTCCAGTACATAGCTTATAAAATCAAAATGTAGATTGATAAATTGGAAAGGTTTCACCCTCTCTATCATGGGTTGGGTCCAACTGGTTTCTTCAGTGATCCAAAGTATGTTTTGTATCACTTTACTGTTTATGTTTGGTCGAAATCTCTTCATTTGGTCCAGGGATATGATGCACAAAAGCTTGTCACATGCTTGGCAAAAGGGTTGTTCTCCTCTGCAGGAACAAGTTTTTAGGATTCTTTCCATTAAGAGAATCAACAAAGCTACCATTTAAAGGTGCTTGGACTCCTATTTTGAAAGCTAGATGCTGCCTCAATGGCTTATTTAGAAATTGTTGTAGGCCTTTTTGAATATGGTTTGGTATTACAGGAATCATTAATGAAGTTAACTAAACAGCAGTTGAATGCTTAAGGATGGTAAAAATAAAATTTCAACAGATGAAAAGATTTGGATGAGAGGTTGCTGTGTCCTCTATACCATTAACCACTAATTGAATGTTAAATTATTAAAAAAAAATGAAAATGTGTAATTTATATATAAACTTCATTACAATAATGGATAAAATATAGTTGAAAACTATTTTATATACTCTCTTAATTCTAATATTTAATCAGGTCCTGACCACGAAAAAAAAGGGTCTAATTAGATAAGTTATTCTTCATATCTTGCACAATTATTATTATTATTATTATTATTATTATTATTATTTTATCTTATTTATTTGAGATCCAAGCATGGTTAAGATATCTAAACAGATCCACTACTACTTGCATGGTTAAGATCCAAGCTTTCGATTCATTGTGATGGCAATGAGCATTAGTTGAGGAATAAAAGGAGTAGTTATTAAGGGACATGTATTAACTGAAGAGTAGGTAGCAAGAATTGGTCATTTCAAACAAACCAGACAGACCCTTAAAACTCGCGGGAATACTGTCCCCCCACAGAATCGTTCACAATCAATGTTTGAGTGGTCAAGCTCAAGTTCATCAACATTCTAATCTTGTACCATAACTCACATAATTTTCCGGAAAATTTGTTACTTGTCTTGGTTAATATTACAAAGTTAAACTTTTTACCATTTTTTTCATTTTTCAGTTTTATTTTTTTGGTTCCTTACATTTTTCATTCCTATGCCAAGATTGTTTGATTTTCTTGGAAAGATGGTGGCATCACCTCTTGCATAGGAAACCCAGACCTTATTTGTTTTCCTATTCTTTTTTTAAACGCATTTTGGAAGGAAGGAATTCTGCTTTAGTTTTGTACAATTTTGAAGGTGCTTCAATCTGCATAAGCGTTGCACAAGAAGGAGCTTGTGATCTCAATCTCCTTCTTCGCTTTCATTTTGTGATTCTTCACAACCATTCTTATCTGGTTTGAATCTGAACTCATTTATGAGTCACATTGGTTTACAATGTGAATGAATTAAATTCATACTTATTCATCTCCCCTCTTTCTTTTCAGGGTTTATTTTAGATCAAAGCCAGTTATGGAACAATTTAGGCAAATTGGGGAGGCACTAGGGGGATTGAAATCTGTTATGGTATTCCGGGAGAACATTCAAATCAATCAGAGGCAATGTTCTCTGTTGCTTGATGTGTTCAACATTACGTATGAGTGTATTGCAAATGAGATTATACAGAACCTGAAATTTGAAGAGAAGAATGTGAAGTGGAAGATTCTAGAACAGCCCTTGAGAGAGATACATAGGATTTTCAGAGAAGGTGAATCATACATTAGGCACTGCCTAGAAACAAAGGACTTGTGGGCAAAAGCCATTACCTTGTGCCACAACACAGATTGTGTTGAGTTTCATATACACAACTTGCTTTGGTGCATGCCAGTTGTAATTGAAGCTATTGAGTCTGCAGGAGAAGCATCAGGGTTCGATCAAGAGGAGATGCAAAGGAAGAGGATTATCAACTCTAACAAATACAGGAACGAGTACAGAGACATGAAACTTTTCCAGTGGAAATTTGGGAAGCAGTACCTCATCACTCCAGAGTTATGCCACCGTTATGATACAGTTTGGAAGGAAGATAGATGGTTCCTTTACAACAAACTTCATGAAAAGAAAGAGGAAGGTGTAACAAAATTTGAGAAGAAATTGATAGATTTGCTTTTGAAAAAATTGGAAAGATCAGAATCGCTAGCAGGGAGGCTCCTGCCAAGCTCAATATTGGTTAGTTCTAAGGACTTTCAGGTGAGGAGAAGAATGGGGAATGCGAGTCAGTACAAGGAGATTTCATGGTTAGGTGAAAGCTTTGTCATAAGACATTTTACCGGGGACATTGAAGCTTTGCAGCCTGAGATCATAGAACTTTTATCTCTCTGCCATCCACATATAATGGACTGCCTTTGTGGCTTTACTGATGAGGAGAAGAAAGAATGCTTTTTGCTAATGGAACTCATGAGCAAAACCCTTGCCACCCACATCAAAGAGATTCACGGTCCACGGAAGCGAATACCATTCTTGCTTCATGTGGCAGTTGATCTTATGCTTCAGATTGCCAGGGGAATGGAGTATTTGCATTCAAAAAAATTATATCATGGAGAACTAAACCCTTCAAGCATTCTTGTTAAGCCTAGAGGTACATCCCCAGAGGGCTACTTGCATGCCAAGGTAACTGGGTTCGGACTAACTTCTGTCAAGGATTTGAATCAGAAAGGGAACACAAATCAGAATGGAACTCTCCCATTCATCTGGTACTCTCCTGAAGTACTAGAAGAGCAAGAAAACTCAGGGGGTGCAGCAAACTCCAAGTACACACAGAAATCTGATGTTTACAGTTTTGGAATGGTTTGCTTTGAGCTTCTAACTGGCAAAGTCCCTTTTGAAGATAGTCATCTCCAAGGGGAGAAAATGAGCAGAAACATAAGGGCAGGAGAGAGACCACTTTTCCCACTCAATTCACCCAAATATGTTATTAACTTGACAAAGAGATGTTGGCATACTGACCCACATCAGCGTCCAAGCTTCTCTACCATATGTAGAGTTCTTCGTTATGTAAAAAGATTTCTTGCAATGAATCCTGGTTACGGTAGTCAGCCAGAGCCACCATTGCCAGCAGTAGATTATGGTGATGTAGAGTCGGTGCTCCTGAGGAGGTTTCCATCTTGGGGAAGTTCTGAATCATCACCTGTATCAATCATTCCATTTCAAATGTTTGCCTATCAAGTTATAGAGCGAGAAAAAATAAATGCGGTCTTTAAGGATAACTCGGAGTCAGGAAGTGATGCTTCAGCCTGTGGCGATGAACTTGTTACCTCAGGGGATGAACCGTTTCCATCCACAGCTGAAAGGAAGTCTTTGCTTGGACATGACATTATGAACAGAAGGATTACTTTGACCAGGAAATCTCTTGATTTGAAGCTCACCAAACAACAAGGTTACCTTCTGGACTTATTGCTCTTGTTGTTAGTATTCATGCAATTATAAAATACAACAATTAATGATTTTCAGAAGCTAATGAAATTTCCTGCTATTATCAAATTAAAAAAGCAAATTACTACGTCTCATTAACTGAAAATGTGATAACAGACTACTGTTTCTAACAGCATGTGGATATTGTTTCATGTCACAACTATTACGACATGTATCTGAAATGGCATATAGCAATTTTCATGTCAGAACAAGTACAAAGAAAGCCCAAAAAATCTAATTTTTCACGAACTGCCATTACTTGACTTTACACTATGTTCTCATTTTACCATTTTTTATATTACATACACAAAAGAGGAATACTACCAACGGACACTTTTCAATAGAATTTATTAAGAGGTTGAAATACAAGTGCATCACAGTAAGGGTGACTTTGATTTTTTATTTTTCAAAGCTATTTTTAATTTTGAAAATGCAACTAAACAAGGTTGCTCACATATTTGGTAGAGGGTTGCACAGAGCAAAGCGTGAAATTCAGAGACAGGTTGAATAAGATGCGAAATTCTTTTTGCTTTGGTTAATACTTTTGGAAAAAATTTCAAAGCAAAATAAATTTTGAGTGAGAAATTCTTTAGTAAAATGTCTGAAATTATTTTAGAAATCAGTTTTTAGAACCAAAAGGTAGAAGAGAATCAAACAGAGTTGAATCCTACTTCACTTTAGTATAATTGCTAATTGCTTCTCGAATTGATTTGTTTTTTAATGCAGGAACCCCGAAAGCGAGATCAGCCAGGCCTCCACAAATGTCCCCTCGTGCAAGAAGTTTGAGGATTACATCAGAGAACCACATAATATCAAATCCAAGGGCAATAAGAAGAGTATCTTCTGGTCATGTCTCAGACTCTGAGCTTTCTTAGATCACAGAACACCCTCACCAGATTTTCAAGATAAAATCTGGCTTTTTAGTCTGACTTCAGACCCCAAGCAGATAGCTTATAAATTCAAGACTCTTCTCATTAGCAAGGATGGATTCACATAATTAACTTAAGTAGCTTAAATTAATGTATTCTTGACATGTGTAGTTTGTGAATAAGGATAGGAACAGCAAGACGTTCTGTGACTGACTCCTTGTATTTCATGCCACAGCAAAAAGTCTCATCAATGCATGAAAACTTTTATTCCACCATTTCCTTATCCTTAGTAACTGGGTGGAAATAGAACCTGGAGAATCAAATCCAGCAAATGGCGCTGGAAAAATCTTTTGAATATAACAGGAAACTAAAACATGATGTGTAAAAGGTTTCAGTAGTTCTGCCTTAAATCGCATTCTTGAACACCGATCCTCAACTAGATATTCTTTTTCAGGTAGTTGATAACAAAGTTATGTGACAGAAGAGATAGATGCAACTTTTGCACAATTTTCATTGGCGGTGTAAAATTAATATTTGAACAATTACATAAACTACAGTTAGTTTTTGCAAGCAAAATAGTAAATGCACAACATAGATCATATCCTGTACTTTCTGATAAACTAAAAGTGATTTAGAAGTTGAAGTACTAGTATGTATCTCTGCGCTGCATTCAGATCTGCTTTAGTAATATATCCCTCACTTGCTTAACAGACTGCAGTCTCAGGAGCATGGATGTAAAGGAGCAAGAAGTTATGCTGTAAAACAATATTTTTGTCTTAGATTCAAGTTCAATCAAACTTCAGGTCTGTCTGGTGCCCCTGGCTTGTTGATTCGTGAATTGTTACACACCCTATAGATGAGAAGTTTCTGAGGGGAAAACTTCTGTTTTGCACTTTGGAGGATCTGCTATATACAGAAGTAATGATTCAGAGGAAACCTCTAGTCATGTGTGATACTGATATTTGAAGGAGGCTTGCATGCTCCAGTTTCTCCAGTGCTTCGTTCAAAATCCTGAATATGTACATGCTATATACATTATTGGTTCAGCTTTATTTGTTTCAGACTCAGGAAAAAGAGTTATCCTCATATCATGTTGTAGAAAACAAGCTCCGGAAAGGATTATCAAAGCATGAACAATAAGGACACATTTCTCCTCAGAAGCAATTCATTCCCCATCAATCATTGAAGCCTGAATAATTAACAAGTCTGAGAGTTCATCTCAAACAAAATACACCCTTTTAAGGCTTCATTGTTAACCAGATATGTTCTCTTTTCTGTCAGACCATCTGCAGTAGTTTCACAATTCCATTTGAGTTTCCGGCTACAAGCATGTTAGATTTCTTTCTCCAGCAAACACTAGAAACAAACTGTCCCCTATCTGGGTAGTCAGAAATGGGATCAGTTGACTCAAATTCATGAGTAGCAATTGGCACTGGCAGTGATTTGTGATAACAGTATACCTGAAAGGTAAAAATGTTTAAAATGAAATAGAATTTGTATCTTGTTAATCCCATTTTGCTAGAAAATTTATTAAGAGAAGCAAAGTCCCATAACTATCATTAGCATGGTGTTAATATGAATCAACTCACCTCTTCAATTGTTTTAATTGTAAGAATGACAACCTATATATGAACTCCAAACATCTTTCATGTGGTATAAAGTGTAAACTTGATATTCTAGAACAAATAAATTCTGCTACCTTCAAATATACATAGCCTTGGGTTGAAGTAAATCCTATGAACTAATTATTAGACATAAAATTTTAAGCTGTATTCACAAAATAAAAAATTAAGATTGCCATACCAAAGCTTGCTGTCATGTAAGATTAGTAAGACCATTTAGAGATGAACATCTAATCATAAGAATGCTGAAAGCAATAACAATGCTAAGTGAGATTACGCATCACCATTCCGTGATCAGGCTCCTTAATAAGTATAAAGTAACCCAAAAGAGAAAAAAAAAAATTTTAAAGAACTAGCTTTCTTTTCCCATATGTAGTGCAGAATGTGAAATATTTTGCAGGCTTCATGAGAACTAGCATCCAAGGGTGAACTCAGATCAATATTCCATTTCACAAATGTCAAGATTAAGATACAATCAAAATTATACCTCATTAGATTCTGAACCACATGCAATGTATCCATCTGAAACAGATAATCCCACGAAATTCTGGAGAAGAATTTGAACAATAAACAAATTACAAAAAATCAAAGAAGACAAAAAGTAAGGTAAAATGTGGAAAGAAATCAACCTTTTCATTGCTATGTCCTTTGAAGGTTAAGTCACAAGCATCAGAGGACAAATCAGAATAACTGGTTTTCTTCAGGTCCCAAAGCTTCAAAGAGTTGTCAGTGGAAGCAGTGACAACTGCGTCAGCATCTATAAATTTTACATAGCTCACAGATTTCCCGTGACCAACTAATGTGCACCAAGGGATTCTAGTGTGACGAAGATCATAACCATAAGCCTTGTGATCAGATGATCCAAAAAATAAAAGATTTGTCGATGGAGGAGAGAACTGAACACAGCATATATTGGCAGGCATACTGATAGTTTCCAGAGAATTTCTCTACAAGAAAATAAAATAGAGACAATTATTACGTAATGTGAAGCACAAGCATTCAAAATTGTCTTCCCATCACATATTCATGTTTCTATTCACATTAATCTTGATTTATTTTCCAGGAAAAGGGCAAAAGAACATGAAAAATACCATACTATATAACTTCAAATAGTGTAAATACCAAGTGAAATAGTAATGATTTGTTATTATAATGCATAAAAGAAAGCATGCCTCGTCAATATTCCAAAGTTTGACAGAGCAGTCATCACTTCCACTAGCAAACGTTTTTGGGTCTGACAGAGAAAAGTGAACAGACCAAGCTCTCTTTTGGTGCTCCATGTATTGAGATAAACACTGACCAGTGCCTGCATCCCACATCTGAATTCGTCCATGTATATTATATTAGTAATGTCAAATGTCAATGAAACCTAAAGGTAGTCAAATGTCAATGAAACCTAAAGGTAGTCAAAACAGAAAAAACAATGATAGCATAGTTGGTGGTATGAGTGAAACGCAATGACTGAAATTGGTTTTCTTTCATCAAGTATAGCATTATTGTTGCACGAATTACAAACCTGAATCTCACCACCATAGTCAGCAGATGCCAGATGATTTTGTATGTAAGTGTTCCAACACAGACTACTAAGCTTTGATTCATTTGACATCTCAACTACTGGGTACTGGATGTCAACAGAATCACTTGAAAATGCACTGAGGTCAAAAATCTTTATTTTCCTTGAAACTCCTGCTGCTGCAATGTAATCTTCATCACGGTCAATACTTAAAGCACATATTATATTGCTAGAACTAAACTGATTTCTATCACTTAATCTGCCACACTCTTCAAACTTGCTGTAACGAGCAAACTTGCATAAACCTTCACAGAAGGATGCTAGAGAAGCTACAGAACTCTGAATTCTTTCAGGCTCCCTATCAACATTCTCTACATGAGGCAGCCTGCATTCACTTTCCATCACATTTTTATCATTGCTTGAAACAGATGAAACCTCTTTCGGCAGGACTTGGGATCTTGCGGAAAAGTATGAACTCTCTAGCTGATTTATGTTACTCATTAATCTTTCTTCATCAACAAATGACCTACGTATCAATCTGCTAATGTCTGAATTGGAAGAATCTTGAGAATGTGAACCATTTCCTCTCACTTCAGGATTTTTCTTTAGTGCCAAAGGAAATACTGAATCTATCCCAATTGAATACCTTCTTTCTACCTCCTTAATATCTTCATTCAAGAAATTCAGCATTTCTTCCAACTTGGCTGCTTGTTTCTTTTTTTCTTCTCTGAGTGAAATTAGAAAATGTAGGAAAACCTCGGTTTCAGCCTCATTATCAGATACTACATCATCTTCAGAATTTGATTCCTCTGGTTCACATACAAGTTCAGATTCTGAAATCTTCCTGTTACACACAATGGGAGCATTTTAAAATTATAGAAGAAACATGATGCCCCTTCAACATTTACATCAACTATCCTTTGGCCATGTGATTACTTAAACATGTTAAGGAAAGAAAAGAAAATATGTTGGATTTCTGATCAGGATTTTTCATTTCCTAAGAGCCAAGATGTTCCAAGCTAAATCTAAGGTTGGGGAAAGCATTTTTTTCATATTGGTTTATTTTTAAAAAATAATATATAAAAAAATATGTTTCTACGAAATAGTTTTAAGCTAAGTTTCTTACATAAATATTCTAATATGTGTACGAGAAATCTAACTTTTCTGACTTAAAATTAAAAGTCTATAAAGAAAAAAAGTATTAAATCATTTACTGTAATAACAAATAATTTTTTTTCTGAGAAATAATGTATCACTATTTGACTTCACGAAAAATTATATGAATATTTCTAATAGTATATTTTATCTATCAAATATACTTTAGTAATTCTTAGAAATTATAATTTTCACGACGAAAAAAATATTTTTAGAGAATGGAATAAAAACACTTTTTTTTTTCTTTCCCTTTAGTTGCATGAAAGTGTTTTTAAGCAAATTTTAATTAAAAATAATTAACTACTTCACTAGATTAAAAGTTTAATAAATAAAAATAAAAATAGAAGGATATATTTGCAAATGAAATCTTTATATAAATTTTAGGATTTAATTCGTAGTTATTCCATTTATATAACTAATAATTTTTATATAAATTTCCCTTATTAAATAGTGCTAAAAATATATTGAATTTCAATTTTTTATTTTAAACATTTTTTTTAAAAGGACAAGTATCTTTCCTCAAGATTGTCTTTGACAAAGATATAAATATATTGTTAAAAATGTATGTTTGTAATCTTAATATCTTATCAAACATAATTATAATTAAGGTTATATATTTATATTAAAAAAAAAAAATTTAATTTCAAAAATTGTGTAAATTTACACAGCATCAAATTTTAGGTTTGTAGGAATAAATTTACATGTAACATTTGGTAATAATTTATATGAACAGTGAAAAGTAACGTAAGATAATAATACTCGCTGTATCATAAAAAAAAATCTATTTCTCTAACAGAAATTTTATTTCTTTATTTTAAAATAAAATGCAGAATAATATACTATAATTATTAATTTTACTTGTTAACATCCTCAGTTTTAAATTTTCTACTGACAAGATGAAAAAAGAAATACAAATAATAAAATAAAAATAATTTATTATATTTTTTAACTTCCAACATTTGGGATCAGTAATTTTTTAAATTAAAAATATTGTAATCTCTTATATAAAATAAAATATAATTTTAATTAACTTTAAAAAATTAAAAATAATTTCAATTATTTTAATCTTCAAATTGATTATTTAAAAATTAAAATTTTAAATGATTAAAATATTTTAAAAACATAAAATACTAAAATCAGAATCACTTTTAAACTTCAACAAAAAAACATGATTATCTAAATAGAAAACACGTATTACTAAAATAATATTTAAGAAAAAAAAGAACAAATTATAAATTTTAAGCACCCTCTCGCCGAGCAGAGTTGTTGTTCTTCGTCTGAGGCTAGTCGCGCGAGCAGCGGCTCGAGCTCCGGCGAGTTTGTGGTGTTCGTCGCTTTCTGAGAGGCAGCGGCGGCATGGCAGGGAAATAAGTTGACGGTGGGGTCAGCGGAGACGGTCTTGCGTCTACGGAGGCAGTAGAGGAGAGCAGAGACGGCGAGGAGGAGGAGGGCGCAGGTGGCGGCGGCGAAGGCAACGGCGAGGGGGTTGGCGGAGGTTGATGTAGGGAGGAAGGGTTGGCGAAGGAGCCTTCTGTTGGTGAGTGTGGAGGTGGCTGGGTGGAGGATGAGTGTGAGTGTGAAGATGGTGAACCTCCACATTGTGTTGTGTGTTGAAAAATAGAGTGAGAAATTGAAGAAGATGATTTTTGAGAGTGTGTGAAAACAATGAATCATGTAAAACAATAAATAGAGAGATAAAGTTTACCACGATGTGAGGTTTTTTAATATTTAATTGATTTTTTTTTAATTGTGTTACTTGTATAAAACAATTATTGATAACTAATTTTTATTAGAGTAAAAAAGATTTTTTTTTATAAGCAGTCCAAAGTTAAATCTAAAGTATTTTCAATTACATTAAAAAAAAATTGTTACTAGTTCTCTCACATGGTCATATAACTCATGTTATTTTGTTTCAATTATTTAAAATTTAAAAATTCATATGTTTTAACAAAAATTGTAAGAAAAAGAAACCTAAATATCACATAAACCTATTTTAAATTATTTTAGAAATAATTTATTAAACATAAAAATATAAAAATAATTTCAATAATAAATTTCTTTAAGAATCTGTTTATTCAGCATGAGGAATATAAAAAAGAAATAATTATTGAAGATGTGTATCACATTCTAAACAAGTCTTCTTAAACATATAATTAAAAAAATGAAGTCTTTCTTGTATTCAATGCAACTTGATATTAATACTTGAATTTAAAATTATTACTTAATTATATAAGTGCTATCAAAACATAAATTAATAAATAAGATATTGTTTAACTTTATGTAAGAATTTAAAATTTCTTAATTTTATATTCCTACGTTAAGAGTGGTTGGTATTTTAAGGACCTCAAAGATCGCTAAGGGTCGTGTAATGTTTCTGTCCACAATTCTTCATGTTTTTTTAATCAAACCAAATCTTAAAGGGTGAAATAGTGATGGGTCCAATTAAGATTATGCTTTTTCTTTTTTGTCAATTCCACTTCCCCCAATTACCCCTTTTTCTTTATCTCAAGTTTTTCACCTTTTAAATATTAATTTTAATTATTTTTAACAAACTCATTAATTTTTTATTGATATTTTTATCATCTAGATATTTTCTCTAACCGGAAATACTTTTAAACAATTTATTATCTCTTTTCTCATTAATGAGAAATTAAATAATATTATCTTAGGATTTAAGATTATCTCTTTTACAAAAGGATCTTTGAGAAGGAGAGAACAAATTTAGTTACACATCTATCACTCAATTTTTTCACACACTTCATCTTGTGATAAGAAAGTTGGGTAAAATAAGCAACTTTTTGCAAAATTTTGAAAGGTGCAACATTGTAGTTGAACCACCATATCAACTATGTTTAGGTTTTGCAAGAGCAAAGCATAGGTCATGTCATGTACTTTTTCTGACAAAATGAAAGTGATTCGGAAGTTATTCAGTATGTATCTCTGCTTTTGCTATATACAGATCAACAGAAACCTCTAGTCACATGATATTGAAAGAGAAGTTGCAAGCTCCAGCTTCATCAGTGCTTCAGCATCAGAATTTATCTCAACTAAAATCCAAGCTTAACCATATATTTTCTCTTTTCTGTCAGACCATCTGCAACAGTTTCACAATTCCAACTGAGTTGGCGGCAACAAGCATATTTGATTTCTTTCTCCAGCAAACACTAGACACAAACTGTCCATAATTATCACCACTATTTAGATGACCCAAAATGGGATCAATTGACTCAAATTTGTGAGTAGCAATTGGCACTGGCAGTGATTTGTAATAACAGTACACCTGAAAGGTAGAAATGAAATGAATTAGAGTCTGCATCTTGCTATCCTGCATTTGTTGGCAAATTCAATTAAGAGAAGCAAAGCTCCCACAAATGTCATTAGCCTGATGTGAATAAGAATCAACTTGCCTTATGTATTATTAATTGGAAGAATGATGATACTAACATTCTCAAATTGTACACATTAGATTCATTACATGACCCGTATATGAACTCTAAGCATCTTTCATATGGTATGAAGTATATAATTTTGGTGATCCTGAACAGAAAAAATTTTAAGCTGCATTTACCACTAAAAAATCCAATTAGGATTGCGATGACAAAGCTTGATGTTATATGAGATCAATAAGACAATTTATAAATGAATAAAAACACAACTAATCAGACATATGAATGATAAAAGCAATGACACCTCAAGTAAGATTAGCCTCTACACAACTCTATTCCATGATCAGGCTCTTAAATAAACACGAAGTAACCCAAAAGAGAAAAAAAAGAAAAAAAAAGAACAAGAACTAATTTCTTCATACATAGTGCAGATTGTGAAACATTTTGCAGGCTTGATGACAATCAGCATCCAAGGGTGGACTAAGACTATTATTCCATTCCATATTTAAAAGTCAAGGTAATGAAAAAATAAAAGCCATACCTCATTAGATTCTGAACCACATGCAATGTATCCATCCAAAACAGATAGTCCCACAAAATTCTGGAGAAGAAGATGATGACGACAATGAAAGATAAACAGATTAATACAAAAAAAAGTTAAATATGTTGAGAGACCAACCTTTTCATTACTATGACCTTTAAAGGTTAAGACACATGCATCAGATGGCAAACCAGAAGAGCTGGTTTTCTTCAGGTCCCAAAGCTTCAAAGAGTTGTCAGTGGAAGCAGAGACAACTGTCTCAGCATCTATAAATTTTACATAGCTAACAGCTTTGCCATGACCAGGTAATGTGCACCACGGAACCCTAGTGTGACGAAGATCATAACCATAAACCTTGTAATCAGCTGATCCAAAAAATAAAAGATTTGTTGAGTAAGAAGAGAACTGAACACAGCATATATTGGCATGGTTCCAGATGGTTCCCAGAGAATTTCTCTGCAAAAACAACAGCATATGAGACAATTATTATGCACTAAGAAGCAAAAGCAAGCAACTGCATATTTCTATGGCATAGTTATGTTTCTTTTCATTTTATATGGAAGGGGAAAAAGAAAATGAAAAATATTCTACAATTTAACTTCAAATAGTATAAATACCATACCAATATATCACTCCCTCCTTTCCAAATGTATAGATGTTTTAGCTTAATGCACACTCATTAAGAAAACATTTATCATTACATTTGTAGACTAAAATATCCCTATTTAATGTAGCACTTTTGTAAAATTTAATACTTTAGTAGAAATCAATGAGGGTGTAACAGGAAAAGTATTGTAAATGTCATCTTGGGTTTGTAAAACCAGTATATGTTTTGAAACAACACTAAATTGCTAAAACAAATAGCAATGATTTTCCATTAAATGCATAAAAAAAGGCATGCCTCGCTGATATTCCACAATTTGACAGAGCAGTCGTCACTTCCACTAGCAAACATTTTTGGGTCTGACTGAGAAAAATGAACAGACCATGCTCTCTTCTGGTGCTCCATGTATTGGGACAATGGCTGACCAGTGTCTGCATCCCACATCTGAATTCATCCATACAAGTTATGTTATTACTGTCAATGAAACCTAAGAAATAGCAAATCGCAAAGGCAATGGAAGTTTGGTTAGTATGAATGAAAGAATAAGACTAAAACTGATTTTCATCAATGTTAGTTCTAGTCTTTATAAATTGTAAAAATTTGTAAAGTAGTACCTATCTCGTGACATAAGGATTAGGACTATATAAAAAGATATGCAGAGTAAAACCAAAATTCACTATATTTGCATGGACTAAAAATATTAAACCATTAATTGATTATGGTTCTAATATTGCAAGGTATACACACACCTGAACCACACCATCATAGTCAGTAGATGCCAGATGATTTTTTATGTAAGTGTTCCAGCACACACAACTAAGCTTTGATTTATTTGACATCTCAACCACTGGGTACTGGATGTCAACAGAATCACTTGAAATAGCATTGAGGTCAAAAATCTTGATTTTCTTTGAAACTCCTCCCGCTGCAATATAATCCTCATCACGGTCGAAACTTAAAGCACACATTACATTGGAAGAACTAAGCAGATCTCTATTTCTTAGTCTGCCACACTCTTCAAACTTGCTGTACCGAGCGAACTTGCATAAACCTTCAAAGAAGGATCCTAGACAACCAACAGAAGTTTGAATTCTTCTAGGCTCCTTATTAGGATGCTCTACTTGAGGCATCCTCCATCTACTTTCCATCAAATTTTTATCATTGCTTGAAATAGATGAAGTCTCTTTTGGCAGGACTCTGATTCTCATAGAAAAGTAAGAATTTTCTAGCTGATTTATGTTACTCATAAATCTATATTCATCACCAAATGACCTTTGAATGGATCTACTAATGTCTGAACTAGAACAATCTTGAAAATGTAAATTGTTCTCTCTCACTTCAGAACTGTTCATTTTTGCTAAAGGAAATACCGAATCTGTCCCAAATGAATGACTTCTTTCTACCTCCTGAATATCTTCATTCAAGAAATTTAGCTCTTCTTCCAACTTGGCTGCCTGTTCTATCTTTTCTTCTTTGAGTGAAGTCAGAAAATATAGTAATTTCTCTGTTTCAGCCTCATCATCAGATATTCCAACATCATCTATAAAATTTGATTCCTCTAATTGGCGTATAAATTCAGATTCAAGAATGACCCTGTTGTACATAAAAGAAGAATTTAAAAAATTATGAAAGAAACACGACGCCCCTTCAACATATATATCAATATTCTTTTATCTGTATGATTATTTAAACAAGTAAAAGGAAAGAGAGAAAACGATGTGGTTTTCCTGAACAGCTACTTTCGTTTCCGAAGAGCCAACCAAGAAGTTCCAAGGTGCTAGTGTTCAAACACAATTCGCATTAGGTTCTAGAATGAGATTTGGAAAAAAAGAAATGGCAAAAAATGAACAGCACCTTACTATGGTAGCATGACCTTGACAAAGGAAACTAATAACAAAATGTGCTAATCGGCACTGTTTTCAAGTGAGATTTACAGATGGACTTGAACAAATTTTTTTGAATCTTAAAGCCATTTGATAAACACTTCTTTTTATTGTTTTCTCCCTTTCAGTTGTCCGGTTTGTCAAGCATTAGGAGCAATAAGAATAACAGTCATATGGCTATCAAATCAAGTTAAGAACGAGCTACTTTTTATCATCTATAAGCTGTGCATTGTACACGTAGAACATCAAGAAATTATCATAATAAGTTGCACACAGAATTTAGTGAGTTTTTTGCACTACTTGCCCTACTTCATACATTTCTCTTGAGATAGAGACAGTTATATAAAGTTCTGTAGTTAGCACCACTCATTCATTTGAATGGCCAGATAAAAGCATGGTATAAACTTTAATTTTTCCACATGGTTACCTAAATTCCTTCTCAATATCAGTACGTCACTACTATCATCATCCTTCATGAAGCCATTTAAAATGACACAGTCAGAATACATCCAAGAGTAAGAAAATTTACAAATTCAAATGAGACAGAAAGATATTGACAAACATAAGAAAAACAGCACATTACATCACCTGGCATTGGGACGAGAGGACTGGTCAGGATGCAGAAGCCAAAGACAAAAGCCAGCTTCCATTGGATTTTCTGCTAGAAATTTAGGTGGTAAGATTCTATGGCACAACTCCAACATTGCAGTTGAATAGGCCTCCCATGACTCAATATTGCAGAGCAACTGAAAGTATCATCCACTTAAATGTTAAAAAGATTACTATATTCAAATAGTTAATCTTTGAATTTGATTAAAAGCAACTTAAATAGTTAAAATGATCGACATATCTAACAACTCTTATCCATAATGTTTAATCTTCTATAACTCTATGTTTTAATGTGAATTCCAAAGGTTTGCACTGCATGCCAAACAGATATGTCTCGCTTATCTTGCTGGTTTTAGCAACCAAAATATCATCATTTTCATGAACAACATACTCAGAAAAAGAAAAAGAAAAAAGCACGTTGCAGCGTATGAAACTCTGATTAGTTTCATCATTGAAATCCAACAGAATAATATGGCTTGCTATCAAATCAAAATAGCATACGATTAAACTTTATGAAAAGTAACAATGTGTGAGACAAAAATATCTTTTACCTCAAAAAGAAGAACTCCAAGGCTATAAATATTAGATGACATTGTGCAGACTCCATCGTTCAGCATTTCTGGACTAAAATACCACTGCTTTTCTAACTGATTGATAGCAGACGGAAACAGGTTTTCTTTGGTACCCGTACCTTGACAACTAGTACCATTTTGGCACATACTTACTTTAGTCCTTGATTCCAAGGGTCTGATCGTGTCAGCGTCAGTTTGATTCACTGTTGTCCTGAAGCCATGAATACAGGAGCAGTGACGCTGCTGCCTAAAAGATCCTGTCTCCTCAAATAGTTTTTGCTGCTTTGTACTCGAACATAGGCAGGCACAGGTATTCTTTTCCAGAGGCCTTTTCCTAGTCACATTGCAGGTCATGACTTCATCACCTAACTCTGGTGGGCCATATGAACCAATGTATTGAATCTTACTAGAAGGCAATAAAGTGAAAAATGATGGTCGAAAGTCGAGCAAAACAAGTCCTTGAGAGTGTGCCAATTGAACCGATTTCAATATCTGCTTAAATATATGAACCTTTCCTAATTTCTTCATTTTATGACATTCAGTCTTCAGCCACTCCCTTAAGTTGATTCCATTGCTATCAGACACTACAGTTCCTTCCAATAAAGACTTATCATCAACATTTGATCTCAGCAGTATATCAGATTGAAACTTGACTGCAAAAGAAGAAGGTTTCTCATCCTCCTGATTCTTAAGTGTTCCTACAATGCTGAAGCTTTTGTCTAAATCTTCACAAATAACCCCCTTTCCCTTCTTTGTTTGCTTTACAATCAATTGAGGATAATTATATGCAGATGAAGTACTATCAATTTTACTGCTGATAAGATGTGCATTGTTTGAGATTATAGTCTTGCCCATATTGCTTATATCTGCTGAGACTTTCAGTGGGTTATGATTTACACTCTTGTCAGACAGCGGCTTCAGGCCCCAAATTTCAGAATTATTTCTCTTAAGTCCTTTGCTTAATCTGAATGGTATATGTTCTTCAACCTTGGGAACAACTTCTCTGCTCAAGCCATCATACTTAGACTCAATAGTCAATTGATTCCTTGTCTGTCTTGAATTTTGCGGGTGGCTAACTAAGTCTGTATTCTTGTTCTTATAATTCCTAATAGCAACAGGAAACACTTCAACAAAGTGTTCAGAATCTATAGTAGAACACACACTAGAACTAGGAAGTTCAGATCCAGCTAAGGAAATAACATACCTATTCAAACCATTATCCTGATTACCAATCACATTGTCATTTGGCGAACCCTCTGACCATTCCTTCTTAATAGGTGTGCACAATCTAGGTGATCTTGGCTTGTTTTGGTGTCCTCCATGCTTAAGAAAAGGATCATTAGTTTTTCTCTTTTGCTCCTCAGTCTCAGTCCCCCCATTTGCAGTAGTCATATCTTTTAGCAAAATTCATGCAAATCCAAACGCAGTTCCTTCAACTAATTTGAAGACCTGCACTACGAAAGTTTAGATCAATGAGATCACAAAAAATAGTTCAATACCATCGAACAAAAAACGTCTGCATAATTAGAATGACAAGCTATAAATATGATTAAAAGTGAAAACCTAGACAAACTTGTAAAATACTTAATCTTGGATTCCATTTATTGTCAGACTACACAAATAGGGTGCCAAATTTTCCTTCTGCTTTAAAACTTCTAAAGGGTGACATAAGCATGCATAGATGTATTGAAGCTATTCAATACGTTATAATCAGAAACATAATTGCCATGTTGGATGACAAAACATGAAGTGCACCATTTAGCTAACATGAACTATAGAGAGAGATGAGAATGATTGATTGTGTACAATAACAACATATACAAACACCAATGACAAACAAAGTAGTAGCATGAGAAAGAGAGATCAGAGACCAAAGGATAAAATGATAAAATTAACGGATAAAGAGAATGGTTTGGATGGTTACCTCACTACTAAGAAGAGTTCCTGACAGAGAAAATATCTTGCTCATAAAATGACAAACAATAAATACAATGAAAACCATTAAATGCTTCGATTCAGAGAGAAGTTTCGCTTGTTTGAGTGAGATATTTATTATAATTATTATGGACACCATTTAATAGTTTTTTCTTTTCATTGATTAGATTCGGGTATATAAGACTGTCCACGTCTGAGGTGAAAAGTACAGCCACGACATCATTGTTGCTGCCGCCAGCTAAATCGATATCTTTACTTTATATTTTTGTTAAGGTTGTCTAAGTGACTACGTCAACCATTTGAAGTTTTTGTTTTAAAAATTATTTGTTGGGTAATTAGAGGTTTAGTTCATACACTTTTCGTTAGCCTAGATCCTAGTTGCTTAGAATCTCGTTGTATTTGGTGTTGGTGTTTAACGTAGAAAATTTTTGTTTATTTATTAAGCATGCGTTATAAGTAATAAATGCTATATTTATTATTCTATTAAGTAATAAATATATCATATTTATATCCACAATAGCTAATCTGAATCCAAATTAAAAATAAATAGGGTTGTACAATATTATTCTAATATTTAATGAAAAATTGTTATCAACATAATTTTAAAATTATTATTTTAAACTAAAAAATTATTATATATAATCATCTGCAATCAAATCAAGGATATTTTTTTTATAAAGACATAATATTGAATTAATTTTCTCAATAATTAATTTTATTAATAAATTAACTAATATCAGACTACTTTTAATAAAAAAATCACTAAATTTAAATCTTAAACTTATTGAATTATTATTATTATTATTATTATTATTATTATATATTATATTTAAGTTTTTTTAGGTTAAATAATCAATTTTAAAAGAATAAAAATATCAAAACTGTTGAGATGACAACACGTAAATTAAAAGCGGTTGCATGTTGCAGTATTCATATATTTGTAATCAATGTATATATTAGATTATAAAAAAAATAATAAAAAGTTAAGAAATTTATGGAAGTTCGGTGAATCTACTTTACACGTGCCATTGATACTATTTGAATTGTGTGTCGTGGCTTCGTTTAGGGCACATACACAGAAGCAAACTCTTACTTGAGTAGAATAGAAAAATATTTATTTAAAAATTAAGTAATTATCTATAGTAAAAATAATGGTTTGATTATGGTTTTTTATGAATAATAAAAAAATATTAGAAGGAAGAAGAATAATAAAAACAGAACAAAAAATAAAGAAATTGAAAGTAAAATTATAACACACAAAAAAATATTACTTCCGTATTATTTATGATGCAACCACTTCAGAAATGTGAAAACATAAACACAAGCATGTTAAGATTGTGAATCAATCTCTCAGTCTAATTTCTTCTATATTGGAACTATGAATAGAACTTAGTTTTAAAAAAATAACAAACAAGCACAAAGCATCTCTCTTTTCAATAAGAATGGGACAACACGAGATTAATAGAATAAATATTGACTACAAATGGTAAGTAATGCTTATTAATTGATAAAATGATAGTTAATTTTCACGATAAGTACATTCTAATTTATCATTTATATGCTGGGTGAAGGGTTTAATTAATTATTTCCCAAGTGAGTACCATTGGGAAGGATGAGAAAAGGAGACAGAAATCTTGTCTTAATTCCTTGTGAACATAAAGTTTTTCTAAAATATTATTTAAGATCTTAATAAAAAATGTTATAATTTTTCTCTGATTTTTCACTTATTTCTTGATAATTCTTTTATAGATCATTAACAATAAATATTTAACATATGACTCGTATGTAGTGTTAGAGAATAGAAAAATAAAAAAGAGATACTACTTCAAAAGTACCTCGTTCTTATTATATTGCATAAACACGTATAATATATATATATATATATATGGGTATAAGAGTTTAAAAGTAAAACAAAAGCAATTAACTCCAACTATAAAAGTCGTGATTTATTAATCAACACTCTCCCTTAAGTCAAGTACTTAAGGAACATAACTCCAATTAACTTCCTTAAATCTTCAAATCTATCATTCTTCAATGATTTTGTGAGTATGTCAGCTAAATGCAGATCAATTTTGCAGTGTACAACTGCAAGTCTTCTTTTGTTCACCAAGTCTCTAAGAAAGTGAAATCTAACTTTTATATGTTTGCTTCTGCCATGACTCATTGGATTCTTGGACAAATTAATTGCAGAAATATAGTCAATCTTCAGCTCTAGTGGTTTTGTGACTTCAATCTTCATTTCTTTCAAAAGTTTTTCAAGCCACATAGTTTGGCATGCAGCAAAACTTCCTGAAATATATTCAGCTTGACAGCTTGAGAGTGTAACTACATGGTGTTTCTTGGAGTACCATGGAGCATGGTTTAGCAGAAACAGGTATCCCGATGTACTCTTTCTTTCCACTAAATCACCACTGTAATCGGCGTTTGCATACCCTATGATTTTAAGTTCTTCATTCTGACTTCCAAAGGGAAACAATATCCCAAAATCCATTGTTCCTTGTATGTACCTTAGGATCCTCTTGGCAGCTAGCATATGGCTTTTCTTTGGTTCACGCATGAACCTACTGATCAGACCCACAATAAACGAAAGTTTTGGTCTGCTGTTACAGAGGTAGGAAAAGGATCCAACCATCTGTTTGAACGTTATTTCATCTACTGTTTCGCCTGATTTATCCTTTCTAAGTTTCAGGTTGCCTTCCACTGGATTTATCACCGAGTTACATGAAACATGTTGAATTTCTTCAACAATTCTCCAATATATTTCTTCTGGTGCATGAGTAATCCTTTCGATGTGTACATGAACTCCATGTTGAGAAAATAACTCAGCTCTCCTAAGTCTGTCATGTCAAACTTAACAGTCATCACCTTCTTGAATGTTTTAATCTTTCTTGAATAAGTCCCAATTATCAACAAATCATCTACATATAGACAGAGGATAATCAAGTTCTTCTTGTTGTCTTCTCTTACATAAGCACCGTGCTCTACTGTACATTTTGTAAATCCAGATTTCATCAAGAAGGAATCTATCCTTTTGTTCTAGGCTCTTGGGGCCTGCTTCAGCCCATATAAGGCTTTTTCAAGTTTGTAAACATGCTGCTTCTTCCTTTCTACAATGAACCCAGGAGGCTACTGCACATATACCTCCTCTTCTATAGGCCCATGCAAGAACGCTGATTTCACATCCATTTGGAATAGGGTCCAGTTTCTTGCACATGTTATAGCAACCACCAAACGTATGGTTTCCAGCCTCGCTACGGGTGCAATGACATCAGAAAAATTCACTCCTTTCTTTTGCAAAGAACCTTTCGCAACCAATCTGGCTTTGTGTTTTGACACAATTCCATCGGGATTTAACTTTTTCTTGAATACCCATTTCACTCCAATACTGTGTTTGCCTGCAGGGAGTTCAAGCCAAGTCCAAGTCTTGTTCCTTTCAATTGATCTGATTTCCTCTGTCATAGCTTCTCTTCGTACAGGTTGTTTCAACGCATCAATTTCATCTATGGGTTATGCTTCTGCCATTAACGCCAAATGAATTAAATCTCCTTCCTCGGTTACTTGATCATCTCTATGCATCTCAAAATCACTGAACCTAGAGGGTATATTTCTCTCCCTCTGTGATGTGTTGTAATATCAGTTGCATGCTCTAAGCTTTCTTTCATAGGAGGATTGGAAGTGATAACTGAATGTGTTTTATTTGATAGGCTAGTGTATTTTCCAACCCAGTTCCAACTTTCTTCTTCTAGAACAATCATATCTCTGCTGAAAACAACTGTATCACGAATGAGATCATACAATTTATATGCTCCCGTAGCATGATATCTGATAAAGATCAGTGGTTCACTCTTGTCTTGCAGCTTTGTACGTTTCTGGTCTAGAATATGATTGAATGCTAGTGATCCAAAGACTCTGGAGTGGCTAACTCTCGGTTTCTTCCCTGTCCAGACTGCAATAGGTACCTTTCCATCTAACTTCTTTGTAGGACAGCGATTTAAGATGTATTTTGCAATTGATACAGCTTCACCCCATAACTTTTGAGGTAGTTCCTTCTCCTTGATCAAGCTTCTTGCCATGTTGAGTATGATTCGATTTCTTCTCTCAGTCAAACCATTGTGTTGTGGAGTATAGGGTGTTGTTACTTCATGCACAATTTCATGTTCAATGCAGTGTTGTTTAAAGGCAGTAGATGTGCACTCCCTCCTCCATCAGTCCTAAGGATTTTAAGCAGCTTGTCACTCTCCCTTTTAACTTGAGTTTTAGAGAGAGGTACAACTAAAAGAGTAACCGAAAGTAAACAAAATAAACAGAAGATATTGTTTGATATTGTGGTTAACAATATCTAACACTCCCCCTCAAGCTGGAGCATACAAATCGTATGTGTCAAACTTGTTACAAATATAATCAATTCTAGGTCCCCATAAAGACTTAATAAAAATATCTGCTAACTGATCACTTGA